GGGGGGGGGGTGTCCCCATCCTCCCATCCTTACCCTGAGCGTGGAGCAGGGGGTTATTGCACAGCCCCAAACCCCCCAGCGAAGGGGCACCCAGGGCAGAGCCCCCTCCACCCCCGCAGAAGCACTTTGGGCACACACGGAACCCAGGGAGCAGCTGGCCCCATGCCAATTGCTGCTTTGTGCCTCAGTTTCCCTCAACTGATAAAGCCCTCCAAGAGCTGCAGACACACAGCGTTACCTAAGAGCAGGATATCCAGTAAAAAAAATCTGATTTTAGCGAGATTTATGCCCCATGCTCTTTCTTTTCCCAGGTGACCGAGGTCCGAAGGGAGAGAAGGGGGACCGAGGTGGCAGCACGGGTAAGCGCTCGCTCACGGTTGTCTCCTTGATGCTCCAGGCATGGTTCTGGTGGCATTTGGGGGGGGGTGGGTTAGAAGCCCAGGAGCGAGGGAAATGCCTGGTGAGCCCCGTGCTTGGGTTTTCCTGCCTGGGCAAGGAGGAGCCGGAGCAGCGGGGAGGTGGGAGGGATGTCAGCGTGTACAAGGATCGAGGATGCTCAAGGAAAGCGGTCGTGACATTAAGGCAAAGCCAAGCAGAGGAAAGCACCTTGCTCTGCAGCCCCAGGAGCCCTCAGGGTGCCTAGACCCTGGCCAGGCTGATGGGGTTGGGTTGAAGATGCCCAAAGCCAGTTGGGACTTTCCATGCTCTGCTTCTCCCTGGGAAACAAACAGGATCAAGCTCAGGACTGAGCTCGCCCGCCCACTCGGGCGTTTTGCTGGCAAACATCACCAACCCAGGGACAGCCCCAGAGCTGGCAGCGAGAGGAACGAGGGGCTGGAAGGACAGATCTCTTCCACCCGCTGCCCTGTGGCAGGATTGGCCCAAGGAAGCGTTTTTCCAGGGATTAAAGATGGAAAAGCCCGTTTGGATGGAGGCAGCGGGGCCACCCCGTGCCGCCGACTGCGGCCGTGCCCAGCAGCGCTGCCACTGCTTTGGGCTTTCCTCTGGGGCCAGGGCCAGCACGTGCCCACCGATCCCCAGCGTTGGCCTTCCGGGCTGGCAAGCCAAGGAAGTCCAAGGAATGAACCTGGGGCTGGAGCCTTCCCATCCTCTGCTGTGCTACGGCTACGCCGTGCAGGGAGCTCATCCCTGAGATCCCTGGAGATGTTGATGGTTTCATCCAAGCTTTGGACATCTCTCCTGCCACCCCTGGGGATATCCCTCCTTGGGGACATCCCTCCTGCTTCCCCAGGGACTTCCCTCCTGCCACCCTGAGGACATCCCTCCTGCCTCTCCAGGGATGCTCCTCCTTGGGGGCATCCTTCCTTGGGGACACATCTCCTGCCACCCCAAGGACAGCTCTCCTTCCTCAGGCACCCACGCAGGAGCTCCAGGTCCCTGCCACCTGCCACTACGACACCCAAACAGAGCAAGGAGGTGGCAGGGTTAGATGGGGAACAGCAGCAGAGGCAGCTGGGGAGCAGGGAGCACCGCAGTGGGGTGCACCAGCACCCCAGCAAGGACTGAGGAGCCCAGCCCTCTCCAGCCACTGCATGGTGGGCAAGAGCAGCTAGTTCCCATCTGCAAAGTACAAATGCTGGGGTATATCACGATTTAATTTGCTGGGGTGGACGTACCCCACATCTACCCCCTGGAAACTTGATGTTTGCACCCATATTCCCAAACCAAAGGGACTGGAGCAGAGCAGGGGCAGCAGGAGAGGGCGGTGGGAGTCCAGGGAACTGGGGGCAGATGGTCTCCATTACCAGGGCAGAGATGATATCTCAGCCCAGCTGCAAAGAATCAGGCCCTTGTTTTCCCGGCCACCAGGAGTTATTTCTCCTCTTTAGCTTTTCCTTTCTGGTTTTGCTGGTTTTGGGGCTGGACAGGGAGGGAGGTCAAGGGGTTTGGAAGTAATTGCTGCAGCCAAACAAATGCACACGCACAGGATGATTCTTTCAGGGTTTATTGGGTATGTTGGGGAGGGAAGGGCCCAGGGAGTTGCTCCAAGGCGGATGGGGCCGGGCCCCTTTGCAGGCAGGGGTTTGCTGCAGGCAGAGAGCATGTCTGGGATGCTCCTGAGCTGCAGCCCAGGAGGGCCTGATCCTGGGCAACTTTCTGCAGCACAACGAGGTGGACAACCTGGTTTGGTCCTGGTGTGTCTCACGATGGTTCCGCCAGCTCACTGGGGCCAGGACCCGAGCGCAGCCCCGACTCCAGCTGCAGCTTTTGCAGAGTCCCCAGGGCTCATGGGCACCAAAACAGCCCCAGGATGGGCTGGGCTGGGCTGGGCTGCAGGGCCGTTACTGGCAGCTGGCACTGGTTTGGGAGGAGACTGCTGGGTTTTATTAGCTTTTATTAGCCTTCTAAGCAATGCTTGTTAGAGACCAAGTGGAAGGGCTGTGGCTGGGACTCACGTGGCTGAGCTCTGCAGCTTTATTAGCGGCCCTCACCCTGCTGATTAATGGGAATGTCCCAGGGGTGCCTGGATTGGTGCCCTGGTTGCACAGCTCTTCCCCTCCTCGGGGAAGCAGTCGTCATCTTCCAGCACGCACAGGCACTGAGGAGCATCCAGCAGAGAGCTGGGGTGAGGACGGACTCACAGGGGGAGGAATGAAGGACTTTGGGATGAGCAACTGGCTTGGGTTGGAGATACGGAGCTAGTCCTGGACTGGAATGAGCAAGAAGCTGATGGTGGGTATCATAGGATTATAGACTGGTTTGGTTGGAAGGGACCTCAAAGACCATCCAGTTCCAACCCCCTGCCATGGGCAGGGACACCTCCCACCAGACCAGGTTGCTCCCAGCCCCATCCAGCCTGGCCTTGAGCGCTGCCAGGGAGGGGGCAGCCACGGCTGCTCTGGGCAACCTGGGCCAGGGTCTCACCACCCTCATGGTGAAGAACTTCTTCCTAAGATCTCATCTAAATCCTCCTTCTTTCCATTTAAAGCCTTTGCCCCTTGCCTGATCGCTAAACGCCCTTGTAAAAAGCCCCTCTCCAACTTTCTGGATGCAGGGAGCTGGTCCTGGACTGTCAGTCACCTGCATGTTCTCCAGGCACCAGGGAACAAGGGAAGCTTTGGAGGCAGAGCTGGATGGTTTCACGGAGGGGATTCTGCCTGGCGGGGGGCTCCATCCCTCATTTAGCTCTGGCTTTCCCGTAATCATCACCCACATCAGGGGACAGCACCCAGGGAAGGATCCCCTGGGGCACAAGAGGGACAACGGCCACAAAGCTGAGGCCTTTCCTGGTGCCAGGAGCTCAAGCAGGCAAGGGGACCCCCCCAGCGTGATGCAGGGTGAGTGGCCGGGGCCTGGGAAGGTGACACGGCATGGCTCGCCACCTCGACCTGAGTGGTGGAGGAGAAGTGCTGGACCCTGGGTTTCCCCAGCCGCATCCTGCCCTCCGCTTGCTCGCCTGGAGCAGGGAGGTTGGGCTGGCTCCCTTGCAGGGGACACCAGCGCTGGCCCCGGCACAAGCTTGGTTTGGCAGGAGCAGCTCCCCTGGCAGCTTCAGGAGGAGTCTGCGGCTCCAGCACACGTGTTCGACTCGGAAGAGTCGCTTCATCGAGCCCTCAGATGACACCATCCCTGGGGTGAGCCAAGGCAGCTGCCTCGGAGAAGCTGCTCCATGGGTGGGAGGAGACATCCCACCCCAGAGAGCGGGGACTGGTTGAAGAAGACAGCCGGCAAGATCCCAAACAAGCCCCTTGGCTGAGATGTGATGCCACCCCTCCAGATCCATGTCAGGACTGTGGACAATATCAGTGAGATGGTTCCTGGCTCCTCCATGAACCTAATGCTCTGCCCAGACCCAGGAAATCACGCTCAGGATTTCCAGACCCGCTTCTTGAGCCTGACCCTGAGTGGGTCCTGGAACTGGGAGATCAGCTGGTGCCGAAGCCAAGCAAGAACCGTGTTTTCTGGAGGTCACTGGAAGAGGTGGCCCAGTTCCCACTGGGAGTGGGCCAGGGAAAACCCAGAGCCTGAAACATGAAAAAAAAACAACTTTTGTGCAGGTCCCAGGCAGCCAGCAGTGCCAAAACCCGTTGTATCTCTGTGCAGCAGAACCCAAACGCTGCTCTGGTCTCTCAATGTCCCATTAACCCTGCACCTCCCAGCCCCGAGAGGCTGGGGCAGGCTGGGAACCTGCTTCACCCATCTCTGCCAACCTCATGGTCACCAGCTTGGGTGGCCAAGGTACCTCAAGAGACCTCAGACAGGCACCATTGCCCATGATATCTCACCACCGCGGAGTTAAACCAGATGCTGGACCAATGTGGTCAAACCTTGGACCACGCTGCCTCCTGTGCCTTAAACTGGGGACCTGGTACACTGGAGACACATCCAATGGATAGGACATGATTCAATGGGCATGGGGGTGTTGGGCTGACAGTTGGACTTGATGATCTCAGAGGTCTTTTCCAACCTAATGATTCTATGATTCTAATGTCAGATTTTACCCAGCTCTTGGCAGCTCCCTCTGCACCGGTCACTTCTTGGTGAGGTGCTGGAGACCTTTTGGGTTTTTCACTTGAGAAGCTGCCATGGTCCGTGTGCCGGCAAAATCACAGATGAGAATATTTTGTTCCCTTTTACATTGCTGGGACTTTGGCAGTGGCTGTGGTTGCCGTGGTTTTGGTGCCATGGAAGTGGGGTGCAGCCCCCCAACTCCCTCTCCACCAGCATGGGATGTAGAGGATGAGCTGGAGTTTTGATGGTCATTGAGGAGGACACCTCAGTCTGCCTGGAAATGCTTCACACAGCAACCCAAACCCCATTTATCTTCGCATTTGAGAACTAGTGTCATTGAGCATTTCCAATGGGAACGTGTGTTTTGACAGGGGAAAAAAAAAAAAAAAAACAAAAACAAACCCTGGCTCTGAGAAAACCTCTTTCAATAAAAAAATCTCCAAGGAGCTGCAGTACAACCTTGTTTGGGGAAGCCCAGCTCCACCCGTGGCTGCTGTCCCAGCCCACGGTGAGTCACGGAGCAAGCCCAGCTGCCTGACAGCGATTTTTCTCCGTTCGACCCCTTTTCTCATCCCAAATAATAGGATTCGTGGCATATTCCTCTCTCTGAGTTTCCTTGGCTGGGGGTGTAGGAAGAACCGTTGCAGTTTGGTTTTGGAGCTGAGCTCTTCGGTCGTTCCCCTGTCAGATAAACCACCACCACCCCGTGCCTCTCCCTGGCTGAAGGATGAAGGGTGACCATGCTGGTCTCGCCTGGCAGGAGGGTGGTGATGGGGGGAGGAAGGCTGAGCAGCCACAGAAAGGCAACTGGGAGCAATGCCATGGTGGGGAGGAGGACAAACCATGTCCCACCACCCCAGTTTGGTATTTTGTCCTCACCACCCCCTCAAGCACGAAGTCAGGGTCCACCTGAGTGGTGTGGACTTGGTCCAGCGTCCCGTCTCCAGGCTGGAAGAACCTCCCAATCACCCGAGATTCCCTTTCTAGTCCCTTCTGGAAACCATTTGTGCCCCAGTTTTGCTGGCATCTTCCTCTCCCTGTGTGGTTGCTCGGATCTCTCTTCTCCTTGCAAGCCTGAGCTGACTCCATTTGGTCTCACCTTGGTGGCTTCAGGACTGACCCTTGCTTGGCGCCTGCCCTCCCTGCAGCACTTTTAGGCTACAAACAGGTTTCCCGTCTTGGCACGGACATTGCAAGGCTCAGCCTCCTCCAGCAAAACCCTGGGTTTGATGGGAACCCCTCCAGTGGTGGGATGTCCCCAGGTCTCCTGGAGGTGCATCACCCAGTGCTTTCTGCAGCTGCACAGAGAGGACACCTCAGAGGTGGTCCAAGGCGGGTGAGGGACAGCGCTGGGAGATGCCATCATGCCCCTTCCGACCTTCCTCTCTCTTCCCACCAGCAGCTGCCGAGGAGGGGATGATTCGGCTGGTGAACGGCTCCGGCTCCCACGAGGGACGGGTGGAGGTCTTCTATGACCGGCGTTGGGGCACGGTGTGCGACGACGGCTGGGACAAGAAGGATGGAGACGTGGTGTGCCGGATGCTGGGCTTCCGAGGCGCTGAGGAGGTGTACCGCATGGCCAGGTTCGGCCAAGGTGAGACCCTTCCCCCTCTCCCCCCACCTCACCCAGCACAGATACCTGGGGCCAGCTGTAAACAAACCAGAAACACCCCCCGCCAAAATGATCCTGGAGGCACCCAGCACGTCCCTCCCGAGCAGGACATGGGTTGTGGTGGCCTGCGAAAGT